TCATTGATAGCATTAGTCACATGCTGTTTTTTCAAATGATGCTAGTATAGTTTATTTTAGGTGAATACAGGTTATGTAAATACCGTTAAAACTTTTTTTTTTCTTCCCCTAAGGGCTGGTTATACAAGAGAGTTCATTATCTAGTTATGCATAACTCCTGTGAGTCAGAGGTAACACTATCGAAGAAGGTCAAAGGGACCTTGGGAAAATTTCTACTTCATCTTGCTGGGGGTTTTTTGTTTGTTTGTTTGTTTTGGTGTGTGTGTGTGTGTGTGTGTTTTCTGGGTTCATAAATAATTTATTGGTACACAGTTATGCTAATTTATTTACATATTGTTTCGGGCTAATTTGTATAAACACTAACGTTAAGTTGCTTTGAAGAAACATCCTGACAGCCTAAGGTATTTATTTGTCTGGCTCTTTTGATAAAAGTTTTGCTGACCTCTGCTGTAATTGAACATTATAAAGAAGAAATTTAAAAAAAAAGTAACTTCATACCTTTAGTGGCAAGATCACTTCTCCCAGCAGTCTTTCCAGATAAAAATCTCCAACATTTGAAAGTTAATATCTCTGAAACCTTTTTACTGCTTCCAACCACAGCAGTTACCTACACCCACACACGCTTCTCAGTCTTCAAACCCAGACCCGTGAGCCACACATTTCCTAGTCTGGTGGGCTGTGGTCCCCTGTGCCCAGTAAGCACATTGGAGGATATTTCTGCCACTGGCTCTATGGCCAGGGCTTTGCCATAAGCCACACCCATTCTCCAACACACAATATCACATCTTTTCCAAGACGTTTAGGGATATAATAGTTCTATTTATAGAACTGAATGGGTGAGAACAATGTGGGGGAGGGGGGAGAGAAACTACACTTAACAATTTTCTGCAAATAGTTAGAAAGTGAACTTCAACCAATATCCTTTATAGCTAGAACCTATGGAGAGATTAATAAATTAAAAAGTGACCCATTTTCTTTGACAAAGCGGCGAGTCCTAATTTTTTTTTTTTTTTTTTTTTTTTTTGTATAGCATGACAACACATTGCTGTGCAAAATTATAATGTCATCTTGCTGGTTCTTAACCTGACCTATGGGTACGCCTATAAGTGGTCTTCTAACCTTCAGAGTATAAGCTCTGTGTATGCGTCTAGAGCACTTTTCTGGGGAGAAGACTCACAGCTTTCAGCATGCTCAAAGAGGGTTTATCAGTATGACCATCCTCCCTCTAGAGGTTCTAGGAACCATTAGATGCAGTTATTTAGGCAGGGCTTTTGTTTGTTTGTTTTTACTAGATATTTTGCAGATTATTTTTAACATTAGTTTTCTGAGAAAAGAAAGCGAACAGGTAATTTTTGAAGCACTGTGAGTACCTATTTTCTACCACAGGTTGATATTTATGATATAAATACGATATGGTGTGCTGGCCAGTCCCCTGAATCATAGTGCTACTTCTTAGAGCTGAGGATGACACACCAGTGATTCATCCGTGATCATTAGGCAGATACTGTCCACTCCTGCCCTCCCCGCCATGATGGGCAATAGGATGCATGGCAGAGAACGACACCCTAATACAGTCCAGCATGTTCAGAATGTTATTTTGAAATGCCAAAAGATAATTTGGTTTGTTCTAAAAGTTGGACATGTGCTGAAACCAGTTGGCTCAGTGGATGGAGCATCGGCCTGCGGACTGAAAGGTCCCGGGTTCGATTCCAGTCAAGGCCATGTACATTGGTTGCGGGCCCATCCCTGGTGGGGGGTGTGCAGGAGGCAGCTGGTCAATGATTCTCTCTCATCGACGTTTCTAGCTCTCTATCCCTCTTCCTTCCTCTCTGTAAAAATTCAATAAAATATATTTAAAATCAATAAATAAAAGTTGGACATGTTTTCTTTTGTCAACAAGACACCAAATGCTAAAGAAAACTATCTTATCTCCCAAACTAGATGATTTTTACATAGCTATGTGTGTTGTATAATATTTTTTCTTATATGGAACAGAGTAGAAAGTTCTAACAAATCCTATTTGATCATTTTGACTTTCAGTATTGCTGGTTAGAAAAGAATATGCAATTTACCACCATCTTATAATCTTAAATTAGACTACAATTTATAATTTGAATTTATTATAACATTTAAAAGTTAATCTTATTTGCATTTGGGGAATTTCAGAAGTAGGTTGGAGTGCTAAGCTTGAGTATATTTTTGTAATAAGAGGTTGAAGTACTGCCCTGTTTTCCTTGTAAGTGTTAGATTGCTGGACTATAGGGCTTTATAATGTGAAGCCAACTTCTGTTTCTGGGTCAGTTTCCAGTAACAGTCACAAGGTCTGAAGAGTATGAGGTGGATCAAGTGATGTTATACAAGCTTATGAATGAATCTAACCAGAGTAATGCCTTTTTTTCTCAGATCTGTTTTTTTTTTCCTTTTCCCCTTTTGTATTGGTCAGTTTTTTTCATTTGAAATGTAAATGCTTTTCAAAGTTCAAGGTTCTAAATCAATACTTGGGATTTATAAAATAAAGTAACAGAACTATTTTGATCTCCGTAGATTTGTTCTCTATAAAAATAGTCTGAGGCCCCAGCTGGTTTGTCTCAGTGGATAGTATCAGACTGAGTCCTTTTTAGGTTTTCTCTTCACTCACACACACACACACACACACACACACACACACACACACACACCGTTTTAAGTGATAGTTCTGTTTTGTTTATACACATGACTTTCACTACATCTTTCTTTGGTTCTTCAAATATCAGTAAAATAGTGTCCTAAATTATTTGTGTAGTATAAATGTCATTCTAGTTCTTTTTCAGAGGCAGTTTCTTTTTATTTATTTTTCCCTTCCATGGGCCATACATATCTGTTTCTATGTATGCCTTGTGTTTTATTGTGTTTGAACACTGAACATTTAAATCTAGTAATATGATACGTCTGAAAATCAGATTCTTTTTTTAAAGGATTGCCAGTTTTTGTCATTATTCTCCCTCCTCTTTCTCTCCTCTCTCCCCTCTCTTTATTATAAGTTATCTATGCTGAAGATCACCTTCAGGTGTAACCTTCAGGTGCTCTCAGTTCTTTTTGAGCCTTTCCAGGCATGTGTCTAATATTCCTTGTATATGCAGGTGTTGTTGGTTTTTTTTTGTTGTTGTTTTGTTTTGTTTTGTTTTTAACATCTTAGTCATTCATGTCTTGCTCTCTAAAGGAGAAAAAGTATAAAATATACGGGGAAAGAACACCAGCCTTTCAAATCCCCTGGAAGTTACTCTAGCTGAGAGAGAAAGGCTTGCAATAGTAGGAGTTGCAGCAAAAATGTCTGTCCACTCTGTCTGCATCTCTGTGAGCAGAAGCAGCACTCGGCAATCAGAGCAGAGACTCCTGGTGTTTGGAGGACAGGGTCCTTTTGCCCATATGGCTCCTGCAAATTATGTGCAAGCTGCTGCTCCTGGAACACATGCACGGATGCCTGCATGTGACTGAGGGGGTGGGTAGAGAGCTGCTACTGTAGGAAGAGCTGAAATTGACCAACATTAACCATGATTTACCATCCAAGTCTTCTCTTGAACGTTGTCAGCCTTCAACACTTGAGTTCCAAAATAGTTACACTAGAAGATTCTGCCATTGCAATTGTTGTCTAGGTGGGAAGACAAATTCCTGATGCTTTCTATTTCACCTTCTTCCCAGAATTTTCAAATTAGATTTTTTTAAAATATATATATTTTTTTATTGATTTTAGAGAGAGGAAGAGAGAGGGAGAGACAGAAACAACAGTGATGAGAGAGAATCGTTGAAACTTACTTCCTTGACTGGAATTGAACCCGGGACCTCTCAGTCCACAGGATGATGCTCTGTTTTCTGTGCCAAACCAGCTAGGATTCAAATTAGATTTTAAAGGAGTTTTTTCACTGATACAAAATACATGGTTTTAATCTATGTTGGTCCATTTATATACAAATTTTTGTAGTCAGTCCTTTGTATCCATGGGTTTAACATCTGTGGATTCAATCAAAACAGTATTTTCTCACCCAGCCTGTGTGGTACAGTGGTTGAGCGTCATCCTATGAACCAGGAGGGTCATGGTTCGATTCTAAGGGCACATGCCTGGGTTGTGGGCTTGATCCCCATTTGGGGGAGGGTGGCAGGCAGGAGGCAGCTAATCAACAATTCTCTCTCCTCACTGATGTTTCTATCACTTCCTCTCCCTTCCTCTCTGAAATCAATAAAAATATATCAAAACAACAACAAGAAGTATTTTCTGATTGTCAACCGCGGTTTCCTAACCGTGCATTTCCAACTGTGAGTCGAAAATACTTTCAATGTATTTTGTCATTGTTTGTTCTCTCCCTCTCCCTCTACCTCTCCCATGTTATCTATGCTGAAGATCACCCTCAAGTGTAACCTTCAGGTGCTCTCAGTTCTTTTTCAGCCTTTCCCCAGGTGTATCTCATATTTCTATTTCACCTTCTTCCCAGAATTTTCAAATTAGATTTTTAAAAAATATATATGTTTTTTATTGACTTTAGAGAGAGGAAGAGAGAGGGAGAGACAGAAACAACAGTGATGAGAGAGAATCGTTGATCACCTATTTCCTGCACGCCCCCTACTGGGGATCAAGCCCACAACCCAGGCATGGTGGTTTGAATCCATCCTTTGAACAATATTGGTATATAAACAATCTTAACAGAAAATCCACAACATTGTTCAAGGGTCACCTATATTTTGCTGAGGTACTTTATGTGACATTTAGCATAAGAGCTCCAAAGTTACTTTTTCTTTTTTGATTTATATAGTCTTTTTATATATATAATACTGGTAAACTAAAATTATTATTGATTTTTTTGTTTGTTTCTATGTGTGTTTTATTTTTCAGTGTCAGCAAATTGGACAGTGGCATTGAGTGGGTTTTGAAACTGTCTGAAGTTTAGTGGGCCGCATCTACCTACCATTAACAAGAGAATAAATGGGATGTTTGAGAAGACGGCTCTATTAAAAGAAGAGTGTTGCAAATGGCTTCAGATTCTATGAATACAAAATACCCTCGGAATCACTTCACGAAGGGGAAAAGGCAGCAGCACCAGCAAGCAAAGACCAGGTCCTCCATCGGTGATGGCGATGGCGACGACTCCTTCATCTTTGAAGCACAGGAAGCTTGGAAAGATTTTCATGGGTCTCTTCTTCGGTTTTATGAAAATGGAGAACTCTGTGATGTCACACTAAAGGTCAGACTATTTTTCCCCCCTCTCTTTTCTCTGTCCTCTTTAGAGTATTATGAAAAAACAAGGGTTTCTATAACCATATCAGCAAATTTTTGGTGTTGTACTTATTGTTATAATCAGAATGATTTTATTTATTTATTTTATTATTATTTTTTTAAATATATTTTATTGATTTTTTACAGAGAGGAAGGGAGAGAGATAGAGAGCTAGATACGTCGATGAGAGAGAAACATAGACCAGTTGCCTCTTGCATACGCCCTACAGGCGATGTGCCCGCAACCAAGGTACATGCCCTTGACTGGAATCGAACCCGGGACCTCTCAGTCCGCAGACCGACGCTCTACCATTGAGCCAAACCGGTTTCGGCAATCAGAATGATTTTAGTCTCAATCCTTTTGATTGAAGGGGAAGGAACATAATGGAGGATAAATAAAGAGAGATTAGCAAAAGGTCAAATTCTCATACTAATTTTCAATGTTGATAGTCATTGTTTCTTAGTTCAACTTGTGAGAGTTCTGGAATTCTAAAATAACAAATAGTTAGAAGGAAGAATATACCAGAAAGTTAACAGTATTTGTTTACTTGTGAGTAAATTATATTGTAGAAGCCCAGTGCATGGAATTCGTGCACAGGTAGGGTTCTTAGGTCTGGCCAGTGATCAGGATGATTGGGAGCTCCTTCTCCCACCTGCCTTGGCTGGCCTGGTGCCACCTACTCGCTGGCCTTGCCCCCTGCCACTGCTACCAGTCAGGGCCTGCGGATTGGGGGCAGCTCCTGCATTGAATGTCTGCCCCCTGGTGGCCAGTGTGTGTCATGGCAACTGGTCCTTCAGCCATTCAATCAATTTGCAGTAGGGTTTTATATAGACAGACTAGAGGCCTATTGCATGAAATTCATGCACTGGTAGGGTCCCTAGTGGCTGCCGGCTGCCAGCCAGGGCCTCCATCCCTTTCCCTGGCCACCTGCTGCCACTGCTGGTTGGGGCCCCCCTACTTTTCCTGTCCTGGTTCCTGGTCGAATTCCCAGGCAAACCCAGTTGAGGGGACAGTTTGCATACTATGCTTTTATTATATAGAATGGAGGAGGAGAGAGAAAAAGTTGAAAAATAAGTGATTTCCTTATGTAAAATAGGTACATTTTACAAGTCAGATTTGATAGTACTGGGTTTTAAAAAATATATATTTTATTGACTTTTTTACAGAGAGGAAGAGAGAGGGATGGAGAGTTAGAAACATCGATCAGTTGCCTCCTACACATCTCCTACTGGGGATGTGCCTGCAACCAAGGCACATGCCTTTGACTGGCATCGAACCTGGGACCTCTCAGTCCGCAGATCAACACTCTATCCACTGAGCCAGGCTGGAATTTTTGATGTTCTTTGTTTAGTTAATGTTATTTTTACATCATTTTTTCATTCATTTTACTTCATAATTCACCAAAAGATCATTTATGTTTTCAGAGTTCTAATTAGTTTTTCTGGTTGGACTTGTATGTTGAATCAGCAATTAAAATTAAGGATGCTTGACTTCCCCTGTTTCTCCCTGTGTTGAGAATGAAGTGCTTGCCCAGCTGGTGTGCCTCAGTGGTTGAGCACTGACCCTTGAACCAAGAGGTTACAGGTTTGATTCCTAGTCAGGGCATATGTCCAGTTTGTGGGCTCGATTCCCAGTGAAGGCAGCGCAGGAGGCAGCTGATTGATGTTTCCCTCTCCCTCTCCCTCTCCCTCTCCCTCTCCCTCTCCCTCTCCCTCTCCCTCTCCCTCTCCCTCTCCCTCTCCCTCTCCCTCTCCCTCTCCCTCTCCCTCTCCCTCTCCCTCTCCCTCTCCCTCTCCCTCTCCCCTCTCCCTCTCCCTCTCCCTCTCCCTCTCCCTCTCCCTCTCCCTCTCCCTCTCCCTCTCCCTCTCCCTCTCCCTCTCCCTCTCCCTCTCCCTCTCCCTCTCCCTCTCCCTCTCCCTCTCCCTCTCCCTCTCCCTCTCCCTCTCCCTCTCCCTCTCCCTCTCCCTCTCCCTCTCCCTCTCCCTCTCCCTCTCCCTCTCCCTCTCCCTCTCCCTCTCCCTCTCCCTCTCCCTCTCCCTCTCCCTCTCCCTCTCCCTCTCCCTCTCCCTCTCCCTCTCCCTCTCCCTCTCCCTCTCCCTCTCCCTCTCCCTCTCCCTCTCCCTCTCCCTCTCCCTCTCCCTCTCCCTCTCCCTCTCCCTCTCCCTCTCCCTCTCCCTCTCCCTCTCCCTCTCCCTCTCCCTCTCCCTCTCCCTCTCCCTCTCCCTCTCCCTCTCCCTCTCCCTCTCCCTCTCCCTCTCCCTCTCCCTCTCCCTCTCCCTCTCCCTCTCCCTCTCCCTCTCCCTCTCCCTCTCCCTCTCCCTCTCCCTCTCCCTCTCCCTCTCCCTCTCCCTCTCCCTCTCCCTCTCCCTCTCCCTCTCCCTCTCCCTCTCCCTCTCCCTCTCCCTCTCCCTCTCCCTCTCCCTCTCCCTCTCCCTCTCCCTCTCCCTCTCTAAAAATCAATTAAAAAGATTTTTTTAAAAAGTGAAGTGCTTTCTCAATCTAAAAGCCTTTGTTTCATTGTTTTCTGATCCCTATTGGCTAATCTACGGGAAATTGCTTGGTATTGATTTTTTTTTAAATAAGAGAACATTTTATTTTATTGTTTTTTCCCCAACAATTTCCTTTGTGCAATAGTTGCTTACCCATAATTCTACTTATTATTATTTTTTAATCACACAGTTTTTTTCCTGTTGGTTTTCAGACAGAGTAGAAGGTAGGGGGGAAGCCTCCCACACGCCCCTGACTGGGGCTGGGATACAACCCACAACCAAGGAACATCCCTTTAACCAGTAATTGAACCCTCCACGCTTTGGTCTGAGGGCCAACCTTCTAACCTCTGAGCAACCAGCTAGGGCAGGGAACATTTTTTTAATGTTGATATTTTACATATTTCACTAAACTGTAAGCTTGGCATGTTTTTTCCCCTGAGCATCTTGAATTATTTATATGTTCATGATCTGATAAAAACGAATATAAATTAGAAATTTCACTAGTATCAAAGACACAGAATGTGGTATGTACTTATATAATTTAAAATTGTATAGTAATGCCTATATATTTTTTTAGATTATGTATTTTTCACCCAATTTTAAATATGTAATCTATAGGCTTTGATTTCTTTTAATTCTAAATTTGTGATTAAATATTTTTTATGTACCAGAGAAGAAAAATATAGAAATAAACTTTCAAGAATATAATGAAAGAATATAGTGTCAAAGGAGAATTAATGAATAAAAAGACAAATTTTTTATGTTCCTATTTCATGCATATTACTCAAAGTTCTTTTTAAAGATAAGATGGATATTTATTTTAAGGGGTACATAGGAGTATGATTTTGTGTGTATGTGCATTAAATATCCATGTTTTTGTTTATTTGAATTGAGAAGTTTAAAATTAAAACAGAGAGACAGAACCTTATTATAAAAACATGAAAATAACTTATGGGCCATTGATTTGTACAATTTGGGTGAAAAAGCAGTGTTAAAACACTGTTTATCTGGAAATCATAGAACTTATAGAAAATAGAAATTATAGTATAGTAATATTATATAAGAGAATGTTGGCAAGTTATTTAATTGAGCAGATATCATGTGAGATTTATAGATATTTGCCTAAAAACCAAGTATCAGTGGTGACATGTACAGATAATTTTATAAATGGGTATATTTTAAGGCTATTCTGAAGATGTTTGACATCAGATTTTGTATTTCATTTTAGGGTTGAAATGAATTTAAAAACATGCCAAGCTTTCTGCTTTAGTGTAGGATTCAACTTGAGTTTCAATCAAATCTAAATCCTACTTGAATTCTAATGAATTCTTTTTAAAAATTAAATATAACATATGTGCCAGAAATGGTAATCTGTTCATTAAAAATATGTGTTATTCATTTTCCCTCTAAATCAATGAAAAAAGAGGAGCATTTATAAGCAAAACTCTTCAGACCTTTTTCTTTAGAATTTATTACTTAAAAATTAATTCCCAAATAATGTATTACATAAACAGCTATACCTAAAAACAGAAAAATTGCTTAAACACTACTATTCTATTAATTGTACTCATTGACTATTCAATATAAAGTGCTGGGAAATTTGGATAGCTATTAGGTTAAAAAGAAGCTATCTGTCTACTCAGTACCCCAAATTTTCAGATAGAAATAAAAGTTGTAGTGTAAAACAAAAAAGGTCCTAGAAAAAAATGACATGAAGTAAATGTTACAGAATATTAGAATGATTCCCATTTCAAGCATAGTACTGAAGATAGAAATCATAAAGAAAATATTGATTTAATTATATAAAAATATATGAGGGGAATAAAATTTACAAGTATACTATAAAAGATGAAAGTTTAAAGTATATATAAAACAAATGATTAACACTCTAAATGTATGAGTTCTTACAAATGAATAAGAAAAACGTCATAGAAAAAAGTTCGTAAAAGAAATACAACTATTGTAGGTAGATTTAAAAATGGATAATTTAGAAGAATGTATCCAAATTTCATACTTATTTTTTGAAGCAGCATTTCTAGAATCTATCTGCAGGAAATAATAGGGAAGATAGACAAAGATTAAATTACAGCAAAGTTCATTACTATGTCATTTGTAGTGGCAAACTATTGCAAGCAATCTAATCTTTAAATAATGTGGTAAGATTTCAGAGTTTTTATTACTTTTATATAAAATTAATGTAATTATGAAGTACATTAATAATTCATAAAGTTAAGTCATACTAAATATCGATACTACTAAATACTGATTTATTTACTCTGTGCTTCAATTTCCTCACTGATAAATTGTGGATAATAATAGTATATAATCAACTAAGTCAGTAAATATATGAAAAGTACTTAAAATGGTGCCTGACTTGATGACTTTAGTTAATAATATATATATTTGAAAGTTGCTAAGGTCTTCGAACTTATAAGGGAAGAAAGAATGTAATTATGTGACAATCATTTCATAATACATATATCAAGTCATTATATTTTAAACTTATACAGTGTTATTTTTCATTGTTTCCTGTATATGCATTATATATACATAGATACATATATAAAAGATAAGTGGCTAATTTGGAAGAAGAAAATTACCTGATTTTAAGAAATTGGCCTAGATTAAAAGTTAAGTGACCACAAGGAAAGGTAATGGGAGAAAAAGGAGAGATACGTAAAACTTTCAATAATAAATAATCTATATATCCTATATAATAAAGAGCTAATATGCTAATTAGTCCGAACAGCAGAACAACCATCTAGATGACCTTCCAGACGAAGCCAGGGCTGCAGGGACTGGTTGAGGTGGCTGGGGCTGTAAGAGCCAAGCTCTTTGCATGAATTTCATGCATTGGGCCTCTAGTATATTTATTAAAGGCTAATATGCTAAGTGTCCGTCTGCCTGTTCAACCAGTAGCTATGACACACTCTGACCACCAGGAGGCAGACACTCAACGCAGGAGCTGCCGAGTTGAAGTGACTTGGCGGCAACATGACGCACCCTGAAACCAGAGAGGAGGGAGCCCGATTTCTTGCGGGCTGCGCGATTCCGCCTTCGGCCATGGGTTATATTGTTGCTGGGGCACTGTTGGCCCGAATCTGGTTTACTGCACACTTGGCATTTGTGTTGGAGGGAAAAAGGAGAGATCTGTAATAAAACTTTCAACAGTAAATAACCGATATATCCTATAGAATAAAGAGCTAACATGCTAATTAGACCAAACAGCAACTTTGCAGAGTGCCTTCTGGCACTCCGGGACCCCTCGGGAGGTCAGAGATCTGGATTCAGCCTGTTCCCCACAGGCCTGGCTAAGGCACCCCCTGCCTGAGGCACTCTGCTCACTCCGCAGATGCCCTTCAAGTCACAGCGTCACCCCAGGTGCAGCCGGCTGGCCAGGGAGGGACTGCGGGAGGTTGGCTCCAGGGTGTGTCCAGTCATTCTCACCCAGTCCCGCCCTACTGGCCACCTTCTAATATTAATTTCCTCTCAATGTGCATGAATCGGTGCACATAGTTATAAACAAACAAACAAACTGGCCACCTTCTAATATTTATTTCCTCTCAATGTGCATGAATCCGTGCACATAGTTATAAATAAACAAACAAACAAATAATAAATAAATAAATGCGAACTCAAAGAAAAAAGAAAGTGACCAAAGCATTACCTTGTTAACACTAATGCACTAAATTTGTCCGGCGTTATTGTCCCCGCTGTAGCATGAGCTTGATGCTGATCTAAAGCCAGCTGTGTTACTCAACTGAGTCCCGTTTTGTTTGTTTGGAACAGGTTGGCTCCAAGTTAATCTCTTGTCACAAACTGGTTTTGGCTTGCGTTATTCCCTACTTCAGAGCCATGTTTCTCTCCGAAATGGCTGAAGCCAAGCAGACGGTGATTGAGATTAGAGACTTTGATGGCGACGCCATAGAAGACCTGGTCAAGTTTGTCTATTCCTCACGGCTCACTCTGACTGTTGACAACGTCCAGCCTCTCCTATACGCAGCCTGCATTCTGCAGGTGGAACTGGTGGCGAGAGCTTGCTGTGAATACATGAAGTTACATTTTCATCCCTCCAACTGCCTGGCGGTAAGAGCCTTTGCGGAAAGTCACAATCGAATAGACTTAATGGACATGGCGGACCAGTATGCCTGTGAGCACTTCACTGAAGTGGTGGAGTGTGAAGACTTTGTTAGCGTGTCACCCCAGCATCTCCATAAGCTTTTGTCCTCCAGCGATCTGCATATTGAGAATGAAAAACAGGTCTACAGTGCAGCCATCAAGTGGCTCCTTGCCAATCCTCAGCATCATTCCAAATGGCTGGATGAAACGCTTGCCCAGGTAGGGACTGAAATAAGATTATGTATAGAAATGAACAATATGGAAGCAGATCAACATGTTTCATTTGTCATGAAAGATGTAAACTATCACTTGATGTAAAACAGTGTGAAAATGGCTTTGACTCTTAACTTCCCTATTATACTGTCTAGCAGTAAATCTGAATTTGTTACATTTGATTTAGAAATAGTCTCTGCATATAGATTTGTTCTGGAAAGAGCTACAAGATAATACTTCCCCATTTTCTTCCTTCACCACAGTTTTACTTTCTAAATCTCAGAAATGGTTCTCTATTTTAGTCATTTATTTTTACTGTCAACAGGGGTTACTTAGGAAGATAAATAAATAGATGTGACAATTACTTTGAAGATAAGTTTGTCAAGAAAAATAAAAAGTTTCATTATCTTGCAGCTATATCTTTGTGTGTGTGTGTGTGTGTGTGTGTGTGTGTGTGTGTGTGTGTGTGAATGCATGCATGCTTTAAACTCAAAATTGTATTGCCTGGTTTGATAATGCTTTCATTCCACTGGAAAATCAATTCTTCTTGTAAGAGGGGAAAAGTGAATGCCTCTCCAAAAAGAGGGGATGCTTCCTTGAGTTAGTATGTAATCTTCTAAGGTCATTGATTTGAAGAAAACACCTATTTGTTTCAGATCCGAATGTTTGTGTGTTCCGTCTTAGCTTTAAGACAAAATAACCAAGCACAGCAGTTTTGCTTTGATTGTGCCTTTTCTTCAGCAGCAAAGGGGCCTTCTCATTATGACAGTACCATTTGAGGAGAAATTTGAATGAATATTATTGAGTGAAGATTATTAGTCTACTTAAATCTGTACTTAAAAGGGGATGATAACATCTAGCATATAATCTGGTTTCATTAATGTAGACCGGTACTGGAAGTTGCTTTAGAACGAGGCCCATTGTACTTTAAGTCTTTGTGACATAAATGAGTTTTAAAGGGGTAATATGCTTCAGTGAAAGGGGAGAGTGAGCCATCCAGTTACAACTTAAATCATATCCATAACTATTCGTGATCTTAGGTTCGTTTGCCGCTGTTGCCAGTGGATTTCCTTATGGGTGTTGTGGCAAAAGAACAGATTGTCAAGCAAAACCTAAAATGTAGAGATTTATTGGATGAAGCAAGGAACTACCACCTTCACTTGAGTAGCAGAGCAGTACCTGACTTTGAATACTCTATTCGGACGACACCAAGGAAGCATACCGCTGGTAATTAAATTACTCGTTTATCAACTCTGCTGGAAGGATCTTTGTTGTATTTGAGGTTGGGTATATATGCCCAGACATGATTGTAAGATGATTAGTATCTGATTGCCTTGGAATAATAACTCACACATAAGGTTATTTATGAATTCTTACTGTACATGATTGAGATAGTTTTACCAACATGTCAATTTTTTAAAAAGCCATTACATGATACACTATACAAATGTTGTGTTATAGAATTGTACACCTGAAACCTATATAATTTTATTAACCAGTGTCACTCTAATAAATTCAATGAAAAAACAACAACAACAAAAAAAAAACCCTAGCTAGTTTGGCTCAGAGTATCAACCTGAGTACTGAAGGGTTCTGGGTTTGATTCCTGTCAAGGGCACATTTCTGGATTGTGGGCTCAATCCCCAGTAGGGGGCGTGCAAGAGGCAACCAATCAATGATTCTCATCATTGATATCTCTCTCTCTCTCTGTCTCTCTCTCTCTCTCCCTGCTTTCCTTTCTGAAATCAATAAAAATATATTAATAATAATAGTAATAATAATAAAGCTATTACAAGTTTTATACACTCTAAAGAGCCTGCTGAAATACCTCTTATGTTGAGATTTTCCTAATTCTTATCATCAGAATTAGTTCCTGACATTTGTGCTTTTAGAACACTTTTGCTCTTATTTTATTTTACTGTGTTGCATTGGAATTTATTTTATATATTTTGAGCCCTTCTAAGACAGGTAAGTGTATTATTTAGTTTTGTATCCATAGTGCCAAGCATGGAGCTTGACATATATCACATGCTTAGATACCTGTTTTGTGCATTTTATGAAATCGGACGAAAGGTACTACTAAATCTAGCATTTGTTATGAAAGACCATATTAAGCTGTTAGAATATAAAACTCATTTTAAAGTGTAGATTTCTTTTAGTTATGAATCCTATTTCAGGATGTCAAGGTTTCTAATGATTTAGATATTTAAATTTGAATTCAGACCACATTTTGACAGTCTAGATTATATGCCCAACATATGCTGAGCCCTCATATACACTACCCCTTACATGATTGCAAGAACTTATTGAAGCAGGTTTTAGTAAAGGATTCAGTCCTCTTTAGGAGATAGTTTTGTCCCATTTTATGGATGTGGAAACTGAGAATCAGAGAGGCTAAAATTATGCTCCAGGCCACATAGATAAGTAGCAGAGAAAGGATTTGCATCCTGATCTTGTTGCTTCATTCTTTGTTTTCTGTCCTTCCACATCATATAGGTGAACTGTGTAGCTGAAATACTGATTTCCATTTAAAGAAAATCTTATCAATGATTGGGTTACATTCTGGCATTATTATTCCATCAGTGCCATTAAATATCTATAATTTGGACAGATTTTTTTTGTTGTTGTTAATTTTCACCTGAGGATATTTTTCCATTGATTTTTAGAGAGAATGAAGAGGAAAGAGAGAAGGAGAGAGGAAAGGTGGAGAGGGAGAGAGAGAGAGAGAGAGAGAGAGAGAGAGAGACAGAGAGAGAGAGACAGAGAGAGAGAGACAGAGACAGAGACACATTGATTGGTTGTCTCCTGCACGCACAAGGACCGAGGTTGAACCTGCAACCCACGTATGTGCCCTTCACTGGGAATCAAACCCTCAGCTCTTGGGTGCACAGATGGACACTAACCACTGAGCCCACCAGCCAGGGCTGGGCAGATTTCTTAATCTCTGAAAGCCTCGATTTATTTATAAACAATTTTGACTGTATGATTTGTAAAGTCACTTCCAACTTTAAATTTCTAGGACTTAAGATACTGAATTAGTTGAAAAAGAGCTCAAGCAGTTCTGATCATCCACTTATGTAATCATTCAGCAAACATTTATTCAGTGCCTACCATGTGCTAGGTTCCAGGTTGAGCATAAGAAATGCTGAGAGTACTTGCAGGCTGATGGAGGGAAATAAACATGTAAACAAGTAAATGTAAAGTATTACAAATACTTTGATACAATCATAAAGCTTAGTGGGAAGCACAAAGTAAAGAGTGGTTATTTTTACCTTGCCAGGATCAGAAGAGATTTTATAAAAAAGTAAACCTCGGGCTTAGCTTTTAATAATAAACAGGTGTTTTTCTGGGTGCGAGTTAGGGAAGGAGGTATTCTGTTCATTTTACATTTAGTGAATGCCTAGTATAAGCCAGGCACTGTGCTAGTCCTTCTTGGTGCATAAATACTTAGCACACTGTCTTAACCTGGCTTAGCTTCTGGTGACGAATGTCGGTATAATAGATCACTTCAAGGGTGAGCACAACTACACGCATGTTGCAGGAGCTTGATGTTTTAAGAGAAAGAGAGGGAGAAGATCGGGTTAGGCACTGCATGCCATTGTGCTGTGCTAAGGCTTGATCTCATAGGGAAGTTCCTCTGAGTGTGAGGGAAGTGGTGGCCCTTGAACCAGTAGCGTCAGCATTCCCTTGGCAACTTGTTTGAAATACAATCTTGGACCTACCACAAACCTGCTGAATCAGAAACTCGGAGCTCCACGGTCAGTGTTTTATGCCTTTGGGGTGGATCTGGACCACACTATAATTTTAGTTTCTTGTTAATCGTGGTAAATATGGAAGTAAGCATACCACATTTTATTGCACTTTGCTGACATTGCACTTTTTTTTTTCTTTTCTTTTTGGCAAAATAAAGTTGAGACCCCAGAAAAAAAAGATTATGACTTGCTGAAGGCTCAGATGATGGTTAGCATTTTTTAGCAATAAAGTACTTTAAATTTAGTTGTGTACCATTTTTAGACATAATGCTATTGCATACTTTTAATAGACTATCTAGTATAGTGTAAACAACATATGTACTGGGAAAACAACAAAATTTGTGTGATTGGCTTTATTGTGATACTGGCTTTATTGCAGAACTAGACATGCAGTATCTCGCAGGTATACCTGTTTGACATTAAAATTGCTATTTTTAAATGTACAATTTAGTGAGTGGCATTGCTAACATTTGCAAGACACTACTTATGTAGATAATGAAAAGCTGTTGAAAGAACTTTTAATTAGATTGCTCTGTTGATAGTCTGAAAGCAAAAAAGACTATGAAGTGATAAGAGAGGATAGGATTTTGCAGTAGTTGGGTAATCACAGCTGACAAGGGCCTGCACGAAGGCAGTGGCATTGGAAATAGAGGGAAGGAAGAGGGTTAGGTACGAGAGGAAGCTAGACTCTTTCGAACAGGCTGGGTTTGGGTGCCATCGATCTCTGGACATCAAGTGGAAATATGGCTTAGAAATATAGATTGGAAGGCATTATCATACAGATGGAATTTAAAATAAAGGAATACACTTTATGCAAAAAGTATGTGAAAAGTAGGCTAAACTAAGGATAAAACATGGAAAACAGGGAAGAAATGATGAGACACAAAAGGAGACTATGATATTAGGGAATCCAAGAGAGTTAGGGAGTTTCTCAAAAAACAGAGTGCTCAGTGTTGGCAGTTGTGTTCGGTAAGGAATTAGCAAGAGTTCACTGGATCTTGTGATGACTTTAGCAAGAGCAATTTTACATAGTGGGTGAGGATCTGAACCATACAGTAATGGGATGTTGGGAAGTGGGGGTAGCTAATGTATCCTATTCTTTGAGAAATTAAATGAGGAAAAACCAAAAAGAAAATTAGATTTCTAGTAATGTAGTAACATTGAATGCTACCCAAAAAACTCATTTTCTTTGTCATTAATCAAAATTTTGACTTCCTAAATATTTTTTCCATACTAATTTTTTTAAAAATTAGGGAACCATGATTTTGACCTCTGTTTTGTGGTTTTACCTTTAGGTGTGCTGTTTTGTGTGGGTGGCCGAGGTGGATCTGGTGACCCTTTTCGAAGTATTGAGTGCTATTCTATCAGCAAAAACAGTTGGTTCTTTGGACCAGAGATGAATAGTCGAAGGCGACATGTGGGTGTGATCTCTGTGGAAGGTGGGTTCATTATTGTCTTAAATCACATCGCATGATCTTAAATGCTTTTTTAAACTATTTAAACTTTGACAGTTCTTTCTATAAGAAAATTGCTAAATGATAAAATTGCTAAATGATATATTTGGGTAGTGAGTATTTACTTGCTTAATGCCCATTGATGCTCAGTGTACAATCTCTTGCATATAGTTGCCTTACAGGAGATGAGTATCTGGGAGAAGGGGTTAAAATAAACTGTTGTGAATTATATTTGCAAAAGAATCAAACTAAAGAAAAATGTTTATTGAACCCAAATAATGAACACATACCAGCTTTTTTTCTATACCCATCTAATTATAATTGAAATTAGATCTTTTTTTTTTTTTTTTTTTTACTGGTTACTGAAAATGATTAATTGCAAAAAACCATGGATACATTGTTAGAAAACTTAAAAAATCACTTTTATTCTAATTATAAGAATGTAAATTTTTTTTAGAAAATATGAAAACATTTTAATAAGAATCATTTGTAACCCAACCATCCCAAAACTGTCACAGTTAACATTTTTATATATAATCTTCCCAATTTTTTGTGTACTTTTATTTCATTTAGAAAAATTTTGATCATATTGTATTGTTTTATATTTTCTTTATGTAACATAAAAGCATTTTTTTTTTCGCTTTACAAAACATTCTTTAACAGCATGATTTCATCTACTCAGTAATAAAAAATTGGGAAACCTGAGGGACAGTGTTTGAGCATTTAGATCACTTCATGGGAACAGCACATTGCAGGCATTTTATTAAGTGGAAGCTCACATTTATTTCCACTTCACTACAAAAGTGACATTGATCATCATGTCTGAATACTTGTGGAGAATTATTATTCTTTTCTATTTATATGTTGCTTATACCTGTAAATAACTATCAGTGTATTTGGACTCAAATGAAAACACTCTTCTGCCTGACAGGTAAAGTGTATGCCGTGGGTGGACATGATGGAAATGAGCACTTGGGTAGCATGGAGATGTTCGACCCTCTCCATAACAAGTGGCTGATGAAGGCATCGATGAACACAAAGAGGTAGGTCAGAACAGTAGGTTGTCACAACTTGGGGTGGGGGCAGGGAGGTTGGGGGAGTGGCCGCCAGCATCTTGTTGGGAGAGGCCAAGGACGCTGCTAAAGCTCCTGCAAATGCACAGGGAAGTCTCCCAGAGCACAGATTAGCTGGCCCCAAAAGCCAGGAGTGCTGAGACTAGGAAGACCGGCTGAGTGCTCTTCACCCAAATCCCTTCATGCTGACATCTTAAGCCATCACAGTGCAGTGACTGAAACCAGGAAATGAACATCAATACAAAACTGTTCACTAATCTGTAGGCCTTACTCAACGTTTGCCAGTTTCCTCACATATTTTTGTGCTTCTAATGGATTTTCTTTTCTAAATGTATTGGTTAATATTATAATATAGTGTGAATAGGGACAAAGATAGGTGTTTTTGCCTTGTTTCTGATCTCAATGGAAATGTCCTGGTATTTCCCTATTAAGATAATGGCTTTAGGACTAAGCTATATGTATTTTAACATGATAAAAAAGATATCCCACAATTTCTAGTCATTATTTTTAATCATTATGAGTATTAATAGCTAAAATCTTCATCAATAGTAAATTAAAATATATGTTGATAAATGGATCATTTTAAAGGAGAGGAAGATTCTTTAGTAACAAGTAAAGGGTGCTGGAGAGTGGAAAAGATCTTAACGAAGTCCCATTTAACCTAAGATCTGAAGGGATAGAATAATTGAGCCTAGTTAAGTGGTGGTGGGTGGAAAGAGATGAAGAATCTTCGAAAATTCAGAGGTGAAGTAGAGCAGAGAGCATAAAGGCGTTAAGTATGGGTGAGAGAGCAAAGGGATAGTGTCAAGAAATAAGGCTGAAATAGTAGGCAAAGAAAGGGCCTTTCAGGTTTGCCAAGATTTAATTATCTAGTGGGTTTTGAAATACACAAACCGCATGCACGCAGGCATGCATGAGCAATTTTTAATAGCAAGGGGACAAGAAAATCAGATTTCTCATTTCTGAAATCCCCTTCTCAAATGAAATTGAGAAGGACCAGAGTGAAGGTAAAAATAGTCTCAGAGACCAAAAGGATTATTGTAATATTTCAGCCAAGAAATAATGGTGGCTTGGACTTAAGTAGTAGAAGGTGGAATAGAAGAAAGAAGACATTTCAGAAGTATACTGTCAACAAGATTTAATGATGAATTAGGCTTGGGAGCTAGAAAAAAAACTAAGGCAGAGGCAAGGACTGTTCCTGGCTTAAGCATCTGATATGTATAGTGATGTGCTTTTCTGCATTTGGCACAACAAGACAGTGAACAGAATGAAATTTTTGTTTGTCTTGTGATAGGTCTGTTGGTTTTCAATTTCTGTGCTTCACAAACTTAGCCGTGTAAAACAGCACTCATTTATTGGCTCACAGTTCCAGGAGTCAAGATATCCAGCAGGTTGGATTGGGTTTTCCACCTGGGGTCTTACGAGGCCAGAATCGAGGTATAGGCAGGGCTAGGTTCTCACCTGGAGGCTCTGGGGGAGAAACCGCTCCCAAGGTCACTTGGTTGTTGGTAGAATTCAGTTCCTGTGGTTGTAGGGCTCACTTCCTCATTTGTTCTGGCATTGGCCTGGGCTTACTCTCAGCTCCTAGAGACCACTCTTGGGTGTTTTTTCTCCAGGTGTTCCCCTCTGTTTTCAAACAAGCAGTCGCATGCAGAATTGCCCTCATTCTTTAACTTTCTGTCTTGTATTCTGCTCCCCGCTGTATTTTATAAGCCACTGCTTTATACTCAAGGGAAAAGAGGTTCATATGACAAAATGAATGACTACATTATTCTTAAGAATCCTTTCCTTCGATGCTCTTTTGGTAAACTTACAGTTAGAAACTCAGTAGAATAGCCGCTCTCACCAGTAATATAGCACTACATACGGATCTGTCGCTGTTCTTAGTGTTTGATGTACATTAACGTATACCAGCTGTTTCTACTCCTGTCTCAAACGGGGTACAGATGAAGAAGCAAGGTGGTAGAGATTTATAAGATACACTACATTATCCAAAGTACATACCAAGCCTGTGACATAATAGTTTTAGAGATTGCTGCAATTGTTTTTAAAGAAGCTTGTGTAATCTTTTTAGTTTTTTTTTAAATATATTTTTATTGATTTCAGAAAGGAAGGGAGAGAGAGAGAGAGATAATCATCAATCTGCTAGGGCAGTGGCCAGCAAGCTGCGGTTTGCCGCTCTGTTGACTAATGAGTTTGCCGGCCACTGTGCTAGGGGTTTGAGCCCATACATAACCCAGGTATGTGCCCTGACCGGAAATCGATCCCATGACCTTTTGGTTCATGGGTTGATGCTCAACCATTGAGCTGCACTGGCCAGGCTATGCAATCTTCTTGTCATCATTACTGTGAATTAGTTGTTTTTTTTAATATATTTTTATTGATTTCAGAGACGATGGGAGAGGGAGAGAGAGATAGAAATATCAACAATGAGAGAAAATCATCAACCGGCTGCTTTCTGCATACTCCCTACTAGGGATCGAGTCTGCAACATGAGCATGTGCCCCGACTGGAATTGAACCCTGATCTCCTGGTTCATAGGTCATTGCTCAATCACTGAGCCACACCTGCCAGGCTGCAGATTAGTTTTTAACATTGGCTAAGTATCTTACTGTCCAAGAAGAGAAATAAATGCCCTACATAAGTAAAGCAATGTGGTAAAAAAGGATGTAATATAAACATTTTTTAAATGTGATATAATGAAACCCTACAGCAAAATGTGCTCTGCTGATTAGAAGAATTTAGAAATGACGTTGACTTCTTACCTCCACAGTAAACCATTTGTCAGTTCATCAACCTCTCAATGCAATTGTGTTTTACTTATTGAATGTTTTGGACTTCATTTGTAGTATTTTGTTGGGTTTTAACTTCATTATTTCATATGAGTTTTAAGTCATCCATGCAGGCTATCCATCATAAAGCTCCAGAGGGCACTGCTCACATGGACTTGCACATTTGACAACCCCGTAGCCATCTATTCAGAAGCTTCGATAAATCTAAATATAATTGGGGGGGAGGGAGCGGGTGACACATTGCAGTTTAACATGATGAATGACTTGTATTAGCTCAATTTTTTTTTTTTTTTTTTTTTTTTTTTTGCTACCTGTTTTCTCTAAACAAACCCAGAGACTAAAATGTGTTTTAATATCTTTGCAGGCGAGGGATTGCCTTAGCCTCCTTAGGAGGCCCAATTTATGCGATTGGAGGGTTGGATGACAACACCTGCTTCAACTACGTGGAGAGATATGACATAGAGTGTGACCAGTGGAGCACAGTGGCACCAATGATCACTCCCCGGGGAGGCGTTGGCTCTGTGGCTCTCGTGGTAAGTCATATGGCGCCTTGCTCATTGGACTGCATTGCCTCACATCCCTCACCAAATAAGGAACCATCTGGGATAGTCACATCTCCAGTATGCACATATTGATTATACACCATATTATTTCATGAAATGCTGCTTTCTTTCAAGATTCTGATTTACCATTAGGATAAGGTGTAAATCAGTTAAAAAAACAAAAACAAAAAACTAATGTGACATCTTTTGTATTTTCTCTTTGCTTAGAACCATGTTTACGCAGTGGGTGGCAATGACGGAGTAGCCTCTCTCTCTAGTGTGGAGAGGTATGATCCACATCTGGATAAGTGGATAGAACTGAAAGAGATGGGCCAACGAAGAGCAGGCAATGGAGTTAGTGATCTCCATGGTTGTTTATACGTTGTTGGTGAGTGGGTAGTATTTCTCTGGTCTAATTTATTACAGGATATACAATAATCACACACACATTTATATATATATATATATATATATATATATATATATATATATATATATATATAAAGTATAATATTCAAATCAATTGGACAGAGGAACAACCATCACTGTGACATGCACTGACCACCAGGGGGCAGATGCTCAACACAGGAGCTGCCCTCAGCTCGCAGGCCCCATCACCCAATGGGGGCCTGCTAGCCAACCTCTCAGTCCCTCCTCCTGGCTGGCAGGCTCCAATCTTACGATGGGAAATGGGGGGTTGGGGGGGAGTGACAGTGGATGCAGACTGCGCCAGGCCAACGCTGGTGCAAGTGAGCAGGGCCCCCATCACCTGTCAGTCAGCCCACACACACAGGGTGACCAGTGTCAGCGGTGGAGAGCGGGGCCAGCTGCCAGCAGCCAGGAAAGATGGGCCCTGATCGCAGGCCAGGTCTAGGGACCCTGCCCATGCACGAATTTCGTATAGTATAGCCTCTAGAGATTGTGTGAGTGTGTAAGGCTAATATAGCTAGTGTTTCCTCTGGAGTTTGACCAGGAGACCGGGAGTTCGGTCGCTTGCTATGATGTGTGCTGCCCACCCATGAGGGGCTGTGTGGAATGAAGGAAGGCCCTGATTGGCCCTGGCCCTAGGCCAGGCCTAGGGATCCTACCCATGCATGAATTTCATGATCCTGGCATCTAGTAGTGTTACAAAATAACATAACACAAATTATTTGCATTTAGGTTCAAGTGGAATCAGTCCTAAGATTTACTTTTGAATTCTTAGGGTTCACATTCATGCTTTTTTGTTTACATCATCCTCATTCATTTTTAAAACATCTAGCTCCATATTTTTACTAGGAGTAGCAAGTATATCTAAAGTAAGGGGTTACATTTAAATAGGATATATATTTTTTTCATTTAAGGACACAAATTGAATGAATATGCTTTGCAAAAATCTTTAAAGATCTAAGACATGTTTTCTCATCCCAAGGGAATTATGGTGACTGCTTTAAGCAAACCAATGGGTATTTCCTTTGCATAATAGGTATTGGCATCTTTTTATTGCTTTTTGACTTACTGAAATGAAGAGTTGGAAGGAACCATAGGACAGTGCTTTCTCAAACTTTAATATGCATGTGAATAATATGGAAATATTGTTAAACTGCAAAGGAGGGGCCCAGATTCCATATTTCTAACAGTTCCCAAGTGATAACTGATGCTACTTCTGGTCTACTCCATTCCAATACTAAGGTTTTAAAGGACTAAGAGATGGAAATAATAATGCCTATCTTTTAGAATGGTTTTAAGAATTAGAGGCAATATATGTTCAGCATCTCAAATTGCATCTGGTACTTTGTAGTTACCCAATAAATAGGTGGCTATATTAGACTCAGTAATCCCTTCCTCTGCAAAGGAAGGAAAGAATTCAGAGAGCTAGTCACTGCCTGCGACATTGCGTCCTCTTTTCCTCTGCTTTGAAATTTTTCTTTTTAAAAAAAAGAATATTTTGATTGATTTCAGAGAGGAAGGAAGAGGGGGAGAGAGATAGAAATAACAGTGATGAGAGCAAATAATTGATCTGTTGCCTCCTGCAGGCCCCCCTGTTGGGGATGGAGCCCAAGACCCAGGCATGTGTCCTTACTAGGAATTGAGCACTGGTCCAAGGGTCAGTGCTCAGTCCACTGTGGTACACCAGCCGGGTGAGACACCTTTATTTTTAAAGGAAAGAGCACTGTTAAAATAACAGTCTTTGTCTAACCCTCAGCAACATTATAAGTAATATTGCCAGAATGATGTGTAGCAAACATGTCAAACTCAGAAGCTAACATGGGCCAAATAAATGAGGCGTGTTGCCCATGGGCTGCGAATTTGACATAGAGCATGTAGCATGAAGATGTGGTTTTGACAAAAACTGGTAAAAATTCAGTCAGTTTTCCATCTCTAATTACTATGGCAATTATGGTATTAAGGGAAGTAGTTGGAAAACTTTAACTTATATCTAAATGAGTCAAATTACTTAGTATAGTTTATTCTCTTCTCAAGCCCTGTTACCATTCAAAATATAAGGCACCATGTACACACAGAGGGAATCCCGGTGCTGTCTTGCTTGCCCCTAGGAAGCTAAGGGAAAATTATATAAATGTCTGTGTTTTTGTTTTTGTTTTTTTGCTTTTATGTTATCTGCTTAGATATAGGAACTTTCATTTTTCTTACTTTTATATTTTTAATCTTAGTGTTAAGATAAAATATTATTTCTCTTATCATGAATTCTAGATGTTGGGAGTGGTAATAGGTTTTGAGATGAATTTTTTCCGATTTTCTTCATTTTCTAAAATGTTTTTTAAAAGATTTTGTTTGTAGAAGCTATTGAATGAAGACTTAGCAGTTAATTTCTATGAAGTGTAATGCTTTTACTTTGTTTTCTTCATGTAGGCGGTTTTGATGATAATTCTCCTCTGAGTTCGGTTGAGCGGTATGACCCTCGAAGCAACAAGTGGGATTATGTAGCAGCACTTACCACTCCCAGGGGTGGAGTGGGGATCGCAACCGTCATGGGCAAAATCTTTGCAGTTGGTGGTCATAATGGCAACGCTTACTTAAATACAGTAGAAGCATTTGATCCAGTGCTGAACAGGTAACTTTGTTTTCTCTACCCTTTATTGGAATCTTCCAGTAACTATTGCTTCATGGTGCTAAAATGCTGCGAATGGCGTTACTATAAAACATTTGGGATATCTTGTCTTCCTTAGGAAGCTCGGTGTCTTCCAAAACCAGTCCCACAATAGGCAGTTTTGAATAAAATAAATCATGCTTTGTTCTAAGATAATATTCTTTTGCCCTAGCTGGTTTGGCTCAGTGCATAGAGCATTGGCCTGCAGACTAAAGAATCCCAGGTTCAATTCTGGTCAAGGGCGCATGCCCAGATTGTGGGCTCAATCCACAGGGATGGGAGAGGGGGCATGCAGGAGGCAGCCAATCAAAGATTCTGTCTCATCATTGATGTTTTTATCTCTCTCTCCCTCTTTCTTCCTCTCTGAAATCAATAAAAAAAAAATTTTTTTAAATAACATCCTTTATAAGTACAACAATGGGCACAAGACACTGGGAAGGTGGGATGAGGGCATGTGACAGGGCAAGGGAGGCTGGGGGAAGGTCTATGGGGGGGGAAAGAAGATATATGTACTACTATATGTAATATTTTAAACAATAAAATTAAATTTTAAAAAATTGTTATCATTCGAAATAAAAAAAAAATACTAATATTCTTTCTCCTCTCATTTCAGGTGGGAGCTTGTTGGATCTGTGTCTCACTGCAGAGCTGGAGCAGGTGTAGCTGTGTGTGCCTGTTTAACCAGCCAAGTTCGAGATGTAGGTCATGGATCCAACAATGTGGTTGACTGCATGTGATTCGAGTCCCAGCCACCAACAATTTCATCATATCTGAGAGTCAGGAAAGATGACCAGGATTTTGTATGACCCTCTTTGAACAGTTTTAACTACTACTAGAGTCTTGCTGAAATGTGAACTGTTGTATTGTGACAAAGTGCAACTTTTGGATGGTAGCTAAATAATTATTAGTAATAAAGTTAAATTTGATACTTCCCACTTTAGCAAATAATTGAGTAGGGAAGAAAGACATTCTAACCTGAAACCATACCTTCTCTGAAAAATGTTTAAAGTTGTGCCAAATGTTGAAATCCCTACTTAAAAAAGTGTAGACAAATCAAAATGTAGGAGTCGTTTTCTGAGTGTTTTGTTTGACTTTGTTTGTTTTTTGCCTAAAGGTATTAACCTTAGGCAGTGGGCTTCCTAGAGGGGAGACTAGACTCTGTCCATCAACACCAGGACGTCAGGACAGGGAGAGACCTTCTTTTGAAGAGCAGTTCTCCTTGGTGCTGGATGAATTTATGTCTTGCTTTTTTCTGGGTATTGATTTCTCAATTTTTTTTTGAATATTTACAGAAGTAGAAACAAATGTTTGATCTCTCTGCATGCCACTTGGCTCAAAGCGTATAGGAGTATTATAAGATCTTAATTTCAGTTTGAGTTGTTAGGACACCAAAGACCTAGCTGGACTGATTCCATCTGAACAAATGTACACTTTTATTTTTTTCAGTTCATACAAAAGTAAAATAATTTCTTCATAATAAGCAAAATTGAACCAGAGTACATACTAGAGGAAGGCTTTCGAATTGATGTTATTATTCTAGTGCCCAGAAATTACACCTTAAGGGAGCCTGAGAATATGTTCAACACTCTTTTTTTTTTAAATTTATTTAATCATTTGATTTTGTCCTTTCTATTTTGCTATTTGCCACCATCCTCGTGTTTGTAACTGTACAGAATCTGGATTAATTTATTATCAGAAAATGAGTTCATTTTTACATGCATCCTAGTATATATAGAACTGTCATTTATTCATTAGTTCAAGTCCATCATTACCAATAAGAGATATTGTTGGTAAAAACAGAGAAAGATTGAAACTACATATTTTTTTCCTGTTTTATTTAATCCCCTTTCGTATATTTATTTAATTGGAAATATTTTTGTACATTAATTTGAGGCTAGAATATTCTTACACCTACTAATTAACAGGTCTTCATGGTTTAAACCAGAATTGTAAAAATGGCCTATTCATTATATGTATATATTTGTATAAATATTTATGAGGAATATTTTTTATTTGAATGCTGTTCAGTACATCCCTTCTAGGCGCTCCTAAAGCCATGCCTTGGGATTCAGTATAAGTCACTGCTGATCAGTCATCTGGTTCACAAGGAAGCAGGGCAGTAAGAACCCTAGCCCCTTCTAGCCAGCCCTGAAGCTCATTGCCTGGTAGTGCTGGTGGTCCTCATTAAATGGCATCCTGGCTGTAGCTGGTTAGAATGTCCACCTGCGCAACGAAGGGTCACGGTTCAGTTCCTGGTCAAGGGCACATACCTGGGTTGTGTGTTTGCTCCAACCCTGGTTGATGTGTCTCTCTCACACTGAAGCTTCTCTCCCTCTTCCTCTCCCCACCCCCATTCTTTTCACTCTGAAAACTCAGTGGGAAAAAATGTCTTCTGTTGAAGATTAAAAAAAAAAAAAAAAGGCAACCTGGGCTTGTCAGTGAAGTAGATCAAAAAGCCACATTACAAAGCCATTGCCTATTGGGTATAATGGATGCGCCCCGCTCCCCACCTCAAAAAAACAATTTGTTAGAAGGCGCAGGCTAGCAGAAAAAGTTTTCCATGAAACAGATTTAAAAGTTCCCAAATTATTCTGGGTTTCTTTGTTTTGTTTTGTTTTTCTATTAGCCTATGGGCAAGTTCACTTGTCATTGCTGGATCTGAACCAGTGTTCTCTTATAGAACTAGAACCATATTTCAGTCAGTCCGCCAAATGCTGAACGCTACAACACTCACTGTCTCAAAACCTGACTTCCACAGCATTTCTCATATAATGGCGTTCTTGTAGTTGGTTTTGCGAATTGTCTAACTATGGTTACTGATATGTTGGTTTGGTTATTTTGTGGTGAAGGGAATTTAATCTTATTTCTAAGGTTATTTAAAATGTTTTTTCTTGAACAAGTTTATCTTTATTGTATGTGTAGAGAATAAGGAACACCAAGATGTTACATTTCCAATTCTGTTTTTTATTAAACAGTAGTCACCTAACATACCAAGCTGGTACCCCAGCCAGCCATAAAATATGAACTACTCATGAGATAAGTCAGGTGAAGTGCAGGGGACATGTGGCTGTCTAGTCCATTGTGTGTGGCACTCAGCATAGCCTTGAAGGACCTAACCATTGTACGAAAAGATAAATGGTGGAATCAACATGCACAGTCTATCAAACACACATTCTTTGAGATGTGAAGTGAGGATCAGGCTGAAGGAATTATGCTGTTGAAAGATTATATTCACAGGTATAAAGAGATGAAAGATTCAAAGGTGACTCCTTAATTATGAGGCCTGTTACTTAAACCTCAGATGTTAATAGCGCCTTCCAAAAAGTGACATAAAATAGAGCTAAATTTTGAAATTGTAAATGGAAAACAGTGAAAATTTGCATAGTACATCTTCAAGATATGTTTCTAGTCATTAAAACCACTGCTTTACTATATTGCACTGCCACTTTAAGAAAAAGTTACTTGATATTGTTTTTGACTAAATTCACTATATTCTGTGTAACTAATTGATTATTTTTTAAATGTTTGAAATAATTTTGTATTCCCTCTAAGGAGTATTATTCATTGTTTTAATTCCCAAATGTACTTTGAACTTAAAATGCTATTAAATGCCTAGTAAAGAGATGATTGACGCTGCTTAAACTATTCTTACAAATTGTAAATGGTGAAACATTTTTTTGTTCTTTTATTATATGGTATAGAATGCATTTAGAATCTAATCCATGTCTTATCAGTTAATGTTTTCTGTGGTTTCTCATGTCAGACTTTTAAAGGATTATTATTGGGATGTCATTGGCTCTGTCTCTTTTTCCCCCTTTATGTGGAGTTGTAAGTGGCAATAAAACTTATAATCCCTGGCCAGTGTTAACCAGTTGGAAGAGCTTCGGCCCACATACACAAGGGACTTGGGTTCAATTTCCGATCAAGGGTTCATACTTGGGTTTCAGGTTCAAGCCTCGGCCCCAGTCAGGGAGAATGCAAGAGACAACCAATTGGTATGTCTCTCACATTGATATTTCTCTCTCTGTCTGTCTCTCTCTTTCTCCTCCACCCTCCCTCCCTTCCATTCTCTCTAAAAATCAATAGAAAAAAATATCCTTGGGTGAGTATTAACAGGAAAAAAAACCTTCAATTTAGTATTTTCTTAAAAACCATATAAAAATTTGTGCAAATCAACATGCAAATGCTCCAGAGCAAATCAAAATAATAAATTGCCATGTACTGGTATACGATAAAGTAGTGAAATAAACAGTTGGGGTGATATCAGTGCTATTTATGTGGTAAATATATTGCATGTATCTCTAATGAATATAACTTTCTATGAGGTCGATATAACTCTGTGTCTCATTGTTTGATTCCTTTTATAGAATCTTATAAAAAACTAGAGGCCCGGTGCACAAAATTTGTGCACAGGAGGTTGGGGTCCCTCAGCCCAGCCTGCACCCCCTTGGGAGCTGTCCACCTGCTGGCTTAGGCCCAATCTCCCCGAGCCTACGCCTGCAGTCAGACATCCCTCTCACAGTCCAGTGCTCTTTGCTCTCTGGGACCTCTTGCTCCTTACTGCCTACCTGCAGTGAAGGTGGTAGAGGCTCCTGCCACTGCTGCTGCATTCATCAGCTATGAGCCTGGCTTCTGGCTGAGCAATGCTCCCCTTATGGAAGTGCACTGACCACCAGGGGGCAGCTCCTGTGTTGAGTGCCCCCCCCCTGGTGGTTAGTGCGTGTCATAGCAACTGGTTGTTCCTCCAGCCATTCTGCCATCCAGACAATTTGCATATTTGGGTTTTATTATGTAAGATGGTGTAATTATTCTCCATCTCTCAAATACAAATCGATTTAGTAGGTTGGCTATAATATTTTTTTCATAAAAAGGACCTCTCGGTTTAACTGAAAATAGGAAGATTTTTGTTACCCTTACAAAAGTTGAAGGTAACTGATTTAAGTGATTTCACTGACCCTAGTGACTGATTAAGCAATACTCTCTGCAGTTGCAGACTTGTACTTTATAGAAATGAGATTCTTTATGTATTAAGATAACATTGCCCCTCTTGACTAGTAACCTTGTGGAGCTATAATTTTGTTGCTTTGTTTTCTTTTGTCTTATTTTTTAACTATGTGCCATTGCTAAAAACTTTTCTGAAACTCCTCTTTGAAAAAATATCCTGAAGAGTCCATTCATAAGCCATCTAAGGAAACTGATCTCATGATAGTCCTATGTTAATTTTGAGCGGAGTTTTAACTTGGTTATTGCTGTGTGTATTTTATCAGACCTGATTCAAAATACTTTATGCTTATCACAGGTGAAACATATCCTCAAAGAATGTTTTCCTCTCCTGGGGAAAAAACATTTTATTTTTTTCAAAAGTAAACAGTTTTAGTGGAAGATTACTAAAATTACCCTGAGCAATAGAAACTTCAAAGAAGGAAGAATATAGCTTCTTTTAGGAGAAACCTTATTTGAATGTAAAAATTCTGGTGGTTTTTGTTGGTGTTTTAACAAATCACTATACCATTATCTTAACGGTTGAGCCTTAATTCAGTCTACCTGAACAAACTTTAGAATATAAGGGGTTTCTAAAAATGAAGAATATAAGGTAGTGTGTAACCAGGCTCGAGTTTCTCCAGGGACACTATACAGGATGCATTTAAATAATGTATTAAGCTGAGAGGCATTCTCTCAAATTAGTTCATCTGATTTTATTTTTAGACAACCTACATGGCATCTTTTCCCTTAAAAA